CAAGCAGAGCTGTGGGAACAATTTCATCTCCTCAGCAAATCAAATGATCAAGTCAAGCAAAATCTTCCAAAGGTAATATATTCTCTCTGTTTAATGGTTTATTAAATATGTCCTGATCATGAGTGAAAATTTATATATATTTTTTTCTTGAGGAGAAGGACAAAGACATCTCAGTCGATAAAACTCTCCACACACGTTGTACAAAACCGGAACACGAATTGATTCTGGATCTGGAGATAGGATTGAAGTGCATGCATTGCGGATTCATGGAGAGAGAAATTCGAAACATGGACACATCCGAATGGGTAAGTAATTAGTCATTTTTTGGTTATGACAAATCTAAGATAAGTTGAAATCTATATGACTGGATTATAATCAGTTGATGTTGTTTGGTTTTCTAAATTTTAATTGTAGACATAACTCATGATTAAGTAATAATATTGAATACAAATTTAGGCTATATGATTTTTAAACGTAAATGAGATTTTCTATGTTTCTGTTCGATGGGAGAGATGAAAAAGATAAAGAGGAAGAGGTTTGGAATGTCATCGAAATTCAAATGAAGTCTATTTTTTTTTTCTTTGAACAATTCATATATGTAATCTCTTTTTTTTTTCCGAAGAACCTTGATGTATAATTTTATGACATTTGATAATTTATCTTTGGAGAAATTATTTATGGTTGGTTTAAAATTTTAATAAGAAAAATAGACGATAACTTGATGATATATAACATGCCAACATTTTAGTAATCCAGACATAATGTTCGAATACCGCAGTATATGAGTAAAAATCAATCAGTAGAAACTCTATAAATTAATATTTGATAAATTAATAAACTCGATTAATTAATTAATTTCTTTGGTCCAAAATTTATGTTTTGGTTCAATTAATTTCTTCATAAATTAATAACTCTCTAAAATAATAAAATATAATAGTCTCAATGTTAATAATTTAGAAGATAGAGTTTTTACTGTATATTTTCAATAATGCATTAACGAGAGTAGCAGTTATTCAGATATTCCTCTCTCTCTCATACGGTCGCGTTTATTCGACGTGACTACTCACTTCCTATCACTTCCTCCATTTTCTATTATTTAAGTTTGCAAAGAAGTTTCGAAATTCATTCTACTTCTTCATTACTTTCCCCAATCCATCACTTTTTCCTTCCTCCTCTCTCTTAGGGTTCCGCTCAGATTTTCCTTTAATATTACAAAAACCATCATTTTCTCTTAAGGTTTCAAAACTTTCACAAAACTCAACCTCGACCACTTTCATATATAAATCCATGGCAGAGTACTCCTACCTACTAGTCTTACCAGACGAACTACTGAAAAAGGTTCTAGCGAAGTCGGCTAACACAATTGGTGACCTTATACGGATTAGCTCGATTTGTCATAGGTTCAACGACTGCACCAGAGGTCCTGGCTTCTACGCTGAAGTTGATCCCTTTAATATGGGTCATCCAGAGGATCAAGATGTCCATCTCATCATCGATGTCTTCAGAGAGTTCTATGATGCACGAAATCCAGGCATGATTTTCATGCGAGGTATGCAACTCTTTTTGCATGGACACGATTTTGGAGGGATTCTACTGATCAAGGAAGCGGCGGATAGAGGGTACACGCGTGCAGTATATGTCTACGGGATGTTCATGAAACTTGTTATGGAACATCCCGAGGGTGATGAGTACCTCAACAAACTAAGCCGGGAAACAATAAGGAAGTGCACCCGCAACCTCGTTGAAGAAGTATATCTTGGTTGGCCAATGGGATTGCCAGAGATATTCAATGAAAACACCGTCGCTTTTTACCGTGCCTCAATACTCTTATCCACTGTCTGTGCGGTATAGTTAACCGATGGGAGCGTTGGTGGAGTGATGAGTATAAACCAGGGAACATCTGCGACTACTGCTTCTTAACTCGCGAATGCGGAAGGTTCTTCCTATATGTGTACTGGGTAGTTAGGGTTTCTCCTTATATGGGAGATTGGTGAATGTGTCTGATGTTTTCTGTCTTATGTTTTTTGTTTTTTGTGCTTTCTTATGTTCTGGATTCCGTATGTGCACATTTCGTAATGTTAGTACAAACATTATTCTAATAATTTTAGCTCGAACTGTTTAAGCCTAGTATTCCACATATATAAGTGGTTACACCAAATAATACTTAGATGGTTACACCTAATAATACTATATTATACCATTTATATGTGGTTTCACCAATAATACCAAGTTTTCCCAATATTTGGTTTTCAATAATCCAAAATCAATAATAGAAATAGAAGTACACACCCTAATTCAGTTTAATCCATATATCAATTGTCATAGGAAACTTAACGTCTCTGCCTTGTGTTTGGCCCTAGCTTTGAGTGCTCTTGTTTCTGTTTACCTGCACCCACTTCTACGTTCACAATGTCAGCACCATCTGGTTCTACCTATACATACCAAGTAATACAACATAGTGTTACCACGAAATATTAAGTATTACAAAAACAATGGATATTACTCTTCAAACTTCAATACCTCTTTACTTCTAAGCAGGTACGGAGATCGGGCTACAAGCTGCTCCGCCTCTTTCAGCTCCGCCTCATTCATCTCCGGCTCTTTCTGCTCTGGCTCTTTCTGCTCCGCCTCCTTCTGCTCCGCCACCTTCTGCTCCGCGTCCTTCTGCTCCGCTTCCTTCTGCCCGGCTTCCTTCTGCTCCAACTCCTTCTACTCCTGCTCCTTCTGCTTCTTCTTCGGCTTCTGCTGCGGCTGTTTCTTCTTTGGCTGTTTCTGCTTCCTCGCTTTCTTAGTTTTCACCAGACCTTCAAGTTTCTCTCCAGCTTGTTCATGCTCTACATCATTTTGAAAAACTTCTCATCCCTCATCTCCTGGTCCTTCCCTTTCTTTTCTTGTCTCTTTTACATATTGTTCTACAGAGCAGAGTCTTGTATCAAAGCCATCCATTCAGGCACTGATTCGGAGAAACTGAGCGTCCATACTCTTCTGCAAGCTCTGAAGCTGTTCCACGAATCCAAGAGGCACCACCTTCTCCGTCCCCACATTATCTTTAGCCGCTGCAGGATGGTTTACCCACTCCTTATTATCTCGGGCATCAACATCGATCTTGCATATCTCTTTCCAGAATATCGACTTCTTTTCCTCAACTAAACGCCTTGTCCAATTTTCAGGAACGATATCACCGATATCTTCCTCTTCATTCCTCTCCATGACTCCAGCAAGCATAATTACCTCATCCTCGGATGGTTGCAATATACTCTCAATGACCCTAGTGTTACCCAGTGTTTCATAGAGTTCCCACAAAGGGAAACTTTTTATGGTGAATGGTTGGAACTTCTGCCTGCACATCCGGGGACAATCCCTCTCTGCTCCTCTAACATCTTCTCTGTATTTGTTCTTCAGACATGAGATGGCCTCAAAGGCTAGCAACTACACATAAATCCAACAAATTATACTTACGCTCATAGTATTACATACTTACAAATTCTTTATAATGACATACCTCCAAGGGAGTAACAAAGCTTGGAAATGTCCAGGCATCTGTTTCGACGATCCCATTGAAATGCCTCATTGTGTGCTTAATCTCCTTCATATTTACAACCAATGAATACCTACCCCAAGGAAACCTTTTACAAGCCTCGAGATCATCCACAATCCTCAGGAATAAGGGGTCAACAGATGGTGCTCCCTTACCGGTTTTCGTTTTCCCACTAATTATAGATGATAAGAAGTAGACAACACACATCTTCAACCGATCAGGATTAACTAGCCTTCGCATCGACTCTAGCTTTTTCTCAACAGCAGCAAGGGAGGGGACGATTTCCTGGCAATATCTATTCTTAAACGAAGAACTTCCTATGCTCTCATAGTCCTCTAGGTACGGGAGACAGTTTAATCCACACAAAATGGCATGCTCTTTAAGGGAATAACGAATTGGTACGCCATTCACTACAAACCAAGCTTCCCTCTTCTTATTTGTGTTTGCTGTCCGAAGAAGAAGCAACCACATTCCCATCATCTTGTGTGTTGTGTCCTCATGCATGGCCCTATGCATATGCCAAAAGTGTTTGAACTGTGGGTGTTCTGTAAACCATAACAGCTCATGGGGTTCAAGGTCTAGGGACTCCAATTTCGCAACAGCTTTATGGATATAACATCTTGTTCCCAACTTTATTGCATTATGATACTGACTGGACTCGAAGAACATTCTCACGGGTGGCAATGGCTGGTTCTCCTCTTCCTCAGCCTCAGCCTCAGCCTCAGCCTCAGTTCCTCTCCACAACACTATCTGATTATTACCCGTATCTGATTCGGCAACTCCTACCATTTTCTCCTGCGACGATTCGGAATCTGAGTACAGTTCTGGTCTAGCATATCTAAATACTCTTTCGTTGCCTAAATCCATGACTCCTACTTTGTAATTGCCAACTGAATAGAGAACATATATAAATCGAATTTTGGATTCTACACAAAACCGAGTTGAAATTTACAAAGTAATCTAGATAGAAATTAGAAATCAGAGGACGAAGACAAACGAACCTGATTTAGCGAGACGTTGATTCAAGACAGGCAGCAACAAATCACTAGTAGTTGTCCCAGAGAATACTAGGCGAAGACGACGATGAGAGGACGATTTTGAAATTTGATTTTTTTTTAAAAAAAATTAAGGTTTGACTTAAAAGACTTACAACAATTTTGATCCTAAACCCGATTTCTTCGGATTCAATTCGATATGACAGATTGGATGTGGATTTTCGTGGTTGGGTTAGTAAATATGAAATTTTAGTAAAAACCTGCAAATATTTGACCGTTTTTCTTTTTTTTTGTTTTAAAATAAATTAAAAATAAATTAAATATTATAAGAAGGAAATTTGAGAATTTCTATAATGCAGAATGAGTACGCGAGATTATTCTTCTAAACAAATCATATATGTAATTTTAACCAAAACGATGGAAAACATAAAAAAAAGAAAAAAAAAATAGCAACAACATCTGGTTGCCTCCGACACCACAAACACACCTCCAATCAGCAGAAGCGAACCGAGAGAAGGAGAAGAGACGCCATAGACAAAAAAAAAAAAAAAAATCTCCCCCTCGCGTCTTCTCTTCATTTTTCGCCATTGAAATGGCTCTAAAAGCTTCACCAGTCGCCGGATTATTCCCTCCTCTCCGCCCTATTGCTTCTTCCTCCGCTTCGACTTCTAATCGCCCTTATACCCTCAGGGTACTTCCTCTTAGATCATCCTTCTTCGGAAACTCAGGTGCGTCTTACTTCTTTTTCTAATCGCGTCACGATTTTGTGCTTTCTCTTCGTTTGATTAGCTTGCGCGGCTGTTTGATTGCTCGGAAACCGGAGAGACAAAATAGTGCTGCTATCTGGATTTACTCTGAAAGAAGTGAATGGAAGTAAAATTTGAAGCCATCGTTATTTATTGTGTATGGTTTGTTTATTTTTTATTGTTAGTTCTCGAGTAGAGTCAACTCTTTCACAAAGAAAAGATAAATAGGGTTTTATCATGCTTCAGAATTACTCTTTGGGGGTGAAATTGTGGTTACATTTTCTCTGTACTCGGTGCTATATGGACTCAAGTTGAAATACAGACTGAACAGGATTATTGTTTTTTGTTTCTTTCTGTGAAAGGTGGAGCTTTGAGAGTGAACGAGCTGAGATTAGCTTGTGCAAATAGATTGAAGTGCCATGGTCATGGTGCTACGATGAATCTATTTGAACGATTTTCTAGGGTGGTCAAGGTACTTGTAACTATGCTAGTTCTGTATCTGAGAGTCGAGTTTATTTCTTTCGTGTAGATTTTTAATGCGTTTGAAGTTCATTAATCGGATCTCATGTTTGTTATTGTTTGAATAAGCATAGTCATATGCAAATGCACTTATAAGCTCCTTCGAAGATCCGGAGAAAATCCTGGAGCAAACTGTGATTGAAATGAATAGTGATTTGACAAAGATGCGGCAAGCCACTGCACAGGTGTGTTTCTTACTCTTGAAAAAAACTATATACATGTCCATATGTTTTGGCTTGGCCCTCTTTCTGAGAGTTCATAATCTTGAAGATTAGCTAACTTGTGTGTTATCAATGTGACTAAAGGTTTTAGCATCACAAAAGCAGTTGGAGAACAAATATAAAGCTTCAAAACAATCTTCTGATGACTGGTATGTTTGTTTTCGCCTGGACCCTTGCTTTCTTACTTAAACTTGATTTAGCTGATCATTCTTACATGTTACACGCTTAAATAGGTACAAAAGGGCACAACTTGCTCTTGCAAAAGGAGATGAGGATCTTGCACGTGAAGCCCTTAAACGAAGAAAGTCTTTTGCTGTAGGTTATCTATATTCATTCTCTTATTGATCAGTTTTCTGTTTATTAAGTGTGCTTGTTCCAAAAAATAAAAAGAAGCATGTGATGTAATCGTTTGACGCTTCATGCCATTTGAGGCTGATCTCTAGGTTTTCTGCAAAGTTTAGAAAGGAGGTGGTGAATGTAGAAATAAAAAAATCAGATATCCAAGCATAAAGTAATTCTCATGACTCTCTAAGTAACTTCTAATAGTTGTCTGAAATGTTGACATTGTGGTAATCATCCTTTATATGCAATAGCTCTTGGCAGTGTTTTTAATTACGAGTATTTCTTAAAATTGTCGTGTGTTTTGAGTTTGTTAAGGTGATTTCAGTGTCAGAACAGAAAAAGAATTTAGACTTATGTAACACTATGGTCTAACTGTTGAAAGTTACATATACAAAAACAATCTTCTCGTCTTAGAACTTTTGGTACTGAAATAATTATTTGTTCACGTTTCTATCTTAACAGGACAACGCTACTGCTCTGAAAACTCAACTAGATCAGCAAAAAGGTGTTGTCGACAATCTTGTTTCAAATACAAGGGTTAGTTATTAACATTTTTATCTATATTTTGTCCCACTCTATTTTTTCAGTGCATTTTACTCATTAAACTAAAGAATCATATATATTCGTTTTCTTCATGCCACCACTACATTAGAATGGCTTAGACATAGGGACCATGTTCAATTTATGACGTCGCTGTCCAAGGTTCATATAATAAGTATCGCTTTTTACTTTTTTAGTGACTAAGGACCTATTGTATCTGTACGGACATGACGTAGAAGATGCATTAGCCGTGAATGCTTATTTTTATCTGAAATTGTTAGAACAGTTTGGTTCTTAGAAAATTGACTTCTGTAAAATGTTTGTTGTTGCACTTGCAGCTCTTGGAGAGTAAGATACAAGAGGCAAAAGCAAAGAAAGATACGCTCCTTGCACGTGCTCGCACTGCTAAGTTTGTATCATTATGCTATCATCTTTTTTTACATCTTTTATGGGATGGTTATCCATAAAGACTTCTTCTCGATATTATATAATATATATTGTCACATTTTTTTTTTTTAAAAATTCCTGGTAGGACTGCAACCAAAGTGCAAGAGATGATAGGGACAGTGAATACCAGCGGTGCTCTTTCAGCCTTTGAGAAAATGGAGGAGAAAGGTAAGATCTCTTAATCCTACAAACTGTATAAAACTTAAATAAACCTATGCAGCAATGACAGTAATTATTTAGGAGGAGAAGAATAATTTGCCCATTCAGTCTCCAATTTTTCCAAGATTACTTAACACCTGGGGGATGGGGTGACATGAGAAACAGTGGGTGTGGAATTAGTGTTTAGTTACTTAGCCGAATTATTTATTGTTTAGGAACGAGATAGAAATGAGATTGCATATCTATCCAAAACAAACTGACACTGGATTTGTTTTGACTTTTTTCTTTCCTTCTGCTATTTCTAGCAATTTGTTTATGTTCTGGTGAATATCGAACCTTTTGTTGTTTTCAAGAAGGGGTTCATTTATGTTAGTCCCTGCAGGAATATTCCCCTTGTTCTTTTTGTATCAGATGAAGTTAGAAATTATATTTTTTGACATAGCCTACATTCGTCGTTTTGATGTATGATTATTCTGGTATAGTTTAAAATCTATAAATGCTTGACAGTGATGGCTATGGAGTCTGAAGCAGATGCTCTTACTCAGATTGGAACCGATGAACTGGAGGGGAAGGTTGGTTGTCAATCTCTTGTCTATTTTGTTTATTTTTAGTAGGAGAATCTTTCTCTTGTAAATTGGTTTCAAAGGTATAATCTAGCATTGATTAGCGCAATCTGGTTTACTGTATGTTTGATTGGTTTTATTTGTGGCAGGAGAAGAACCTGTATTTATACAACCATCTTGACCTTAACTTGTTCTTCTTTGTGACTTGCAGTTTCAAATGCTTGAAACTTTATCTGTTGATGATGATCTTACAAACTTGAAGAAAGAGTTGTCCGGAAGCTCAAAGGTTTGTAATACGCAGGTCTCATTATCTGTTCCTTTCAGTCTATAATCTCATGACTCCCTGAAAATATGGCGTTCACAAGCTATCACATTCCAAATTACTGAAAACTGAAACGATCGAATTGGTTTCTTATCGAATTGGTTTCTTATCGAGTAAAAATCTCACCTGTAAACTGGTTTCTGAAAACAGAAAAACTTCCTTGTTTACATTTCGCTCCTCTTGTTTTCATATTTGACTATATCCTAATTTGCTACTAAGATACAGAAACTATGTCCTACTTCACTCTGAGATAGAGTTTGTCGTATATACAGTACATCGTATAGTTAATCTCTGTTTATATGATATATGAAGCAGAAAGGAGAGCTTCCTCCAGGGAGAAGCACCGTCGCAGCAACCACGAGATACCCTTTCAAGGACTCAGAGATCGAGAACGAGTTAAACGAACTACGAAGGAAGGCTAATGAGTTTTAGGCATCGGATGTTTCTGAGTTGTTGTTACTGGTTAAGTTCTTTGTGTAAACTATCTTCTTTCTTGTAGAGAAAAAAAAAAACACAGAAAGCATGTGTTTGGGTAATGAGTATATATCCGGCTATCTAATCCCCATTTACAGTTTGGTTAAATTGCATTTTCATCAGAATCCACTGGTTTTGCCGTCAGTTTTTTTTTTTTTGGGTACACCTCGAATTTTATTTTTTTTGGAGGAAAAATAAAATATTCACAAGCATTATTATCATGAGTGGGTCAGGTAGAAATATAAATATGACAACAAAATTAGGAAATGATCCTGTGATAAATGGTCATTTCATTGTTGCTGACATGTAATTTTTTAACCTTTATACCTTTGGTTTAATTTGTTGAGAAACCCATATTATATCTTGTTATTGTTAATGATCAACAAGCATTATTATCATGAGTGAGTCAAGAAGAATTATACACATGACAACAAAATTAGGAAAATGATCTTGTAATAAAGGAAAATTCTGGGATTCACCCCTAGGGGTGATCATAATTTTATATATATATAAAATCAAATATTTTGTTAATTATATATATATAAATAATATATATAAAGATTCGAATTTACGATTTAGTTTTTATTTTAATTTTTTTAAAGTTTATAGATTATGATTTAGAGTATAAAAATTAGAATTTTGGATTTAAAAATTAAAATTCAGAGATCAGAGTTTAAAATTCTGAATATAAAACAAATATATATATATATATATTTATCAAAAATAAATATAAATATAATATAATATTATGCTTGGATTCACTATTTCTAATTTAGGTTTTAGTTTTTCTTTATTTAAAATTCCAAAAATAAAACAAATAATCATGTAAAAATATTTTTTATTAAAACTAATTTTACATAAACTATGTTTGGGTTCACTATTTCCAAATTAGGATTTAGTTTTTTCCATTAAAAAAATAATTTAATATTATATTTGGGTTCACTATTTCATTTTTAGGGTTTAGTTTTTTTCATTTAAATTTTTAAAATAAAACACATAATTATGTAAAAATATTATTTTATTAAAAATAATTCATCATAAACTTTAATATTATGTTTGGGTTCACTATTTCCAAATTAAGCTTTAGTTTTTTCTTATTTTAAAAAAATATATTTGAAATATGTTATTTTGATAAGTTACTTTAATTGATTTTATTATATGATAGATTTTTATTGGCTAAATTAAGAGGGAGGGAATGAATGAATTTATCCTATGGATGAATCTAAGAATTGTCCTATGATAAATGTTCATTTCACTGTTGCTGACATGTAAGTTTTTTACCTTTTTACCTTTGGTTTAATTTTTTTGAGAAACCCATATTATATCATGTTACTGTTGATGATGTATATCATTTTAAATAGTACGGTTACGGTGTACTTTTTATAATATATCAAATATTTATGTACTAGATAAAGATTTTACATGTATCGCTAAATTCAGAAGAGCGGTTTTTGAGAATTTTGGTTAAGGGAAGAGGAGCATGTGAGAGCATTTGATTCTAAACAGTCAAACTTGAAAACAAAACTCCTTCGCCGGCAACAATGGCGAAACTCGCACTTTTCTTCTTTCTTTCCTCTCTCATCTTCTCTTCCTCCCTTTCTTTCCAATCAGACGAGCTCCTCGTCGACGACGATGAGTTTGGTCTCGAAGGAGCAAAACCCCAATCTACCGAGCTATACACTTCTTCTTCTCCCTCGTCTTCTTCTCCGCAACACCAACAGACTCCGACTATCCGGAAAAGGTATTCGGATCCAGATTTGGATTCCAAAGTCCAATTCACTCTCGAACATGCCTTCGGAGACTCTGATTTCTCCATCGCCGGCACTTTCTCAGCTCGTCTCAAGACATGGAGCCATGGCGGAAAGGTTCTGCTCCTTAACTTGATCCTTAATGAGTTTCGTGTTTGGTTTTTTTAATCACATTGCTTGAGATTCAGTTTAGATTGCTTATAGTCATGTAAAGTCTTGATCTTTGTGGATGCAGACATTAACAAAGCTAAGGTTCTCAAGGAATGGTTTCTCTGCTGAAGAGAAAGATACATTCAAAGTAAATATACTAAAGATTTGTTTTTCTTTTCTCCACGACCTGAGTCAAGAGATATAATGATTTTGTTGGAACCCGTTTTGTAGAATCTGCTGAAAGGAGATGACTTTTATAGGATTAGAGTTCCATCTAATGTGATCAGTCCACCAGGGAAAAAGTTTGTGGTTGCATCAGTGAGAGCTGTAAGTCAATGTCAACATTTTATGTTAATTACTCTTTTTTCAGTTTGCTTTGTGATTTCTGCCTCAAGTTTGGTTCTTTGTAACCATGGTGGCTGCTGTTATATTGAGATCTGTTCATGTAGTCTCACATATTAAACTCCTACTAAGTTACATTTTCCTAATAATAGTCTATCCATTTCAACTCTTTCGAGATAGGAGCGCTTTGTTTGTTTAAATTGGTTTTCAATGAAATGATTAGTAGCTCTCTAAATCACATGCAAACTTGATTCTAGGCCAGACTGAGAAAGACAACCAAGACTCCTTAGAATTATTGAAGTCAGTCTTTTGTAATTTGGTTTCTCGCTTTTCCATCAGGTTATGTGTCTGATTTTAAGACAATATAATTGTTTGATTACAGAGATGTCTACCACGGGATGGCTTGGATGAGCATTTCGTTATACACATGGTAAAAAATATTTCTGAGCTCAAAATTTGGTTTGCACCTTAGCATATAACTACTCTGTTAATGACAGAAAAAATTGTGACTACGAATATGATTTAAGACAGTTAGTCTCGGTTTGTTCACTTGCTGTATTGTCTCCGATTGCAGGAAGGTGCCAACATCTTGGCAGTTAGTTATGGTTCTCTTGGGGCGTGTCAATATCCTCGACAGTTCAAACTTGTAAGTGGAGATTACTATCCCATCTTTACCTTTTTTTCTCCAAACTCTAACTGATAAAATTAGAACATGGCTGGTGAATGCACAGATGATGTAATTGAATCTTTATTTATCCTTCTGCCAATTTATGTGTGATTGAACATATGTCGAATAATATTCTTAGTATGGTATTGCACCTTTTTTCTCTATATTACTTATGTATCTTTAGCAGAACTGGACTATCTGTAACCGTTTCTGTAAAACGTTGATAAATCCGCAAAAACACTCATGAGGAAATATCTTACGATGATAAGAAATGTGGTAGTATGGTCCTAGGATCATTGTAAACATTCCACGGTTGTGTGATTTTGGGTGTTGTTTAAAGTGATGAGCGTAGGGTGTCTGATTTTGGGATGTGGTTGAATGGAAGGATAATCGTTGGTTTTGGATTGATTCGAGTTTACCATTTTCCCGAGTATACAGGGTAGGAGATGCATGGTTCTCCAAGTGTCATAAAAATCTGACCTCGGGTTCTATTAAATTTCTTGTCCCAACTGAAATCTCAAACCTTGAATTTATGGAGGAAGAAGGTTACATGTTTGTGATAGCTGTTGATGTTCATTTTCTATACGATCTAATTCATCTTTGTTTCCCCTTACTGTAGCCAGCAAAATGGTCTTTCAACTCCCACACAATTCTGAAGAGTAGTGAGCAAGCACCAAGGTAGAACAATTATTGTGTTTTTTTTTTCCTCTAGCTTAACTTTGCACAAGCCTGCACACCACTATTCGACGTGTGTGTTATACGTACCATCAATATCAATAAACCTTTTCCTCCACTCCAGACTCCACCAATAACTTCTTTTATTTATTAGTATCATCCTTACATGACTGTTCTACAGAACCCCAATATTCACTGAGGAGATTCTAGGAAGCGAGAATGCCGAGGGCGAAGTTGAACCACCACCAGAGAAATCATTTTGGGCGAAATATGTGAGTAATACTGTAAAAAAAAAAACTTTTGATGCTTTCTTGTGTTTTATGTCTTCATTTAAAATTTCTTATGACATTTCAGTGGATGTACTTGATACCATTGGGACTCGTAGTGATGAACGCCGTGACACAAGCAACAAATATGGCTGACGAACAAACGGGTGGACTAGCAGGAGGCACACAAGTGCAGCAAGCAGCCAGGAGAAGATGATTCCACTTTCACTTCACGCAACGCAATCAAAGGTAGAGAGCATGCCGCAATTTCCTATGATCCTAGGTGAATTCATTTATATATCTGTGTTTAAAGTGAGTTGTAAAATTCGAATCTGATTTGTGAGCTTGTGTTGTTTGCAGCTGAATGCAACTAGTAAGAGATGAAGATTCAACAGATCTATGTGTTATAGCAGTGTCTTCATGTAAACCATATATTCATCATATAGTTTTATGTAACCTTTAGATTTAACTCTCCATCTTTTTGTTTGTCCGCAACAAATGGGAAATCAAAAATATCTGAACTTGATATCTTAAGAACGAAGACATTGAGGCTTCATGTGTTGTTTTGTTTACTTTTGACTTATAGCTTGAATCAGCTTGTATTTTTTTTATTTTTTTTTTTGCCTGAGTTTGTTACTTATTTTAAGGGAAGGTAGAGTAATTAAAGGCCACGAGAGAAAGCATCTTATCCATCAAACTTGGCTTCTATAAACTACCATTGAAGTAAAGTTCAATTACTCTCTTGCTTTTTTTTTTTCAAATACATATATATATATATATATATATAATATCAACTGATTAAATTCAATTGCTTCCTTTGCCCCGTGCTTTTTTTGACACTTGCAATGCTAAAAGAAATAGGTGAGTGAAGTTTTTTTGAATCTAGGTGAGTGAAGTTAACCATAATTTGTAGAAAAAAATGTAAAAGTTTTTTTTTTCCAGTACAAATTAAAATAAAATAGATAAACTTCAGCACCAGCTGAAATATTCTATATTAATTAGACAAAGACATGAAAGATCCCCATCTATAAGTTAAGCACACCAACTCTTCTATTATACGAAATAAATATTCATTTCTTTCCAAGCAACGTAAAACGAAAGATATCCCTTTCCTGTAGGGTTTAGAAATTGTAATCTTCATTCTGTAAAAAAATTGTTTGTAATTCTATTATAAGGATGAACTTCCATTTGTATTTAATTATAAATTTAGGATGAAATTACGGTAACTTAAAAAAAAAAAAGAAATTACGATAACTTAAATCTTAAGAAATATTATAGAACATAAATTGAAAGAGGAAAAGTATTCACACATTCAGGGGAAAAAAAGGATTCACACATTAGCATAATTAAGTCCTTGTATAAAGTATCGTTGTGAACATTTATTTGTCCAAGCAACGTAAAGAAAATATATTCTTCTTCTTCATATTCTTTTTTTTCTTCTTATGGGGTTTAGAGAGCATATAACCCCAAACCCTAAATGTACGGTGGCGTAGACATTATCCTTAACCCCATAAAACCTTAGTGTCAAGCCAAAGATAGCTTTATTTCAAGAAAAGCACAAAATATGTGTATGTATATTCGATTGTGTTAGTTGTGCATAGAGTTATAAGTTCGATTATTAAAAGAAAAAAAGTTCTTAAGTACATACACTACTAGAGATGGAATTAAGCCCTACGCTATTACTAGAGATGGCGTTTCACCCTAAACATTTTCTTGATGAATACCCATTCATAATTAGAGATGGCGTTTGCGATCTTTGTGGAAATATGGTTTATATTGAGTCTAGTGCTTGTTATTGTCCTACATGTAAATCCAGTTTCCACAAAGATTGTCTCACAATAACGTATCCAAAGATTCATGAGCATACACTCACTTTCATTCATAGAGAAAATCATTTCGTTTGTGATGCTTGTGGATCCATCCATCCTGATATGATTAATATGTTCGGATGTTTACAATGCAATTTCTTTATCCACAAAAAATGTATCTTCTTACCAAAGGCAATTAAACTCACTCGTCATCCACATCGTCTTTCTCATACTTTTTGTATCTCTGATGGAAAGCAGCATTGTGGAGTTTGTCACAAAATTCTCAATAAGTGTTACGGAGGATATACTTGCATTAACAAGGTATGTAAGTATGTTATCCATTCAAATTGTGCAACAGATAGCCAGGTGTGGGATGGCAAAGATATTGAAGGAGAACCTGAAGAGCTGGTTAAGTCTGGATTCGATCTTGCATCTTTGACAGAGATAAATGGTAGAATGATGCGCCATTTTAGCCATGACCATGACCTAATGAATCTCTCTGTTGACGTTGAGGGCGAAAGTGATCAAATATGTCAAGCATGTATCCTTCCAATTGATTATGGTAAATTGTTGGCTTGCAAACTATGTGAATTTTTCCTCCACGACACATGTGCACATCTTCCTCGGAAGATGGAACACTTGCTACATCGTCATCCGCTAACTCTACAAGTCTACGACCTTAATATGGAAAAGGGTTTCTTTACTTGCTCCACTTGCAATCGAGACTCGTGTGGTTTTATGTATCAGTGTTGCCAAGGGGATTGCGTGTTTCAAATTGATGTAAGATGTGCTTCTTTGGTTGAGCCTTTTATACATTCAGTTCACCCACATCCTCTCTTTCTGAGACAAAGAAATGATCCTCTCTTTCTGAGACAAAATAATGATCTTCTCTTTCAGAGACAAAACTGTGATGGTTGCCATGGATATTCGAGAAGTTTCGTAGATTGTCGCACATGCTACTTTGTATTGGATCTAACATGCCTAACTTTACCTAAATTGATAAAACACAAGTACGACCTTCATCCACTCACCCTAGGCCATCATACAATGTTGCAAGAGGAATTTCACATGATATGTGATATATGCGAAAAAGTTATAAGCAAAGACAAGTTGTTATACTCTTGCCATCATTGCCTATTCACTCTACATGTTGAATGCACCATAGGGAAAAATCCTTATTTGAAATCTGGCCATTGGATCAAAAAGTATGGTCTTGAGATTAACATTTCATCAAATAATGGTCCTTCTCGGCCAACTTGCCGTACATGCCAGCATGTTTGTCAAGACAAATTGGTCTTTAAAAAACAAGATGTATGCTTCTGTTCGAAAGAATGTATTCTGTGAAGATGATGAGTTATTTGAGGATTCAGAGGATTGATAACAAAAGGTTTTTAAGTTCTTGTGGGTTCAATTCCCTAATGTCTTTGCAGTATATGAGGTTATCAATCCATTGTGTGGCTTTAGTACATTAATCTATATGATGTGTATCTTAATCTAAGCAAAACAAGATGATTTGGTTTGTAACAAGTGACAAGATTAAATTAAACAAGTCTAAGCAATGATTAAAAGCAAATAAAAACAAGCAAAGCAGATGATGATGATATGAAAAATGATTAAAATATGGAGCTCTAGACATGATAGTTGGCTAAGGTGCATTAGTGATCAACCAAGATGCTAATGACAATATGAAATATAATTCAAGCAATTTAGGATTCAAAACAAGTCTATTCTTTCCCAAGATATAGAACACAAATCAGATTATTACTCATACCCAATCATCATTGGACTTATAACAATAAGACAGCATTTTAAATCAATCTTAGAACGTCATTTATGCATATAACAAACATTCCCATGGCATTAATGCATAAACCTCTATAATAGCTGGTTCAGACAATTTATCAAACACCTTTTGGTTGGATGAAATACTTGTGATCTGGGTTAGAGAGATCATCTAAAACACAGCATTAAGATCAGCTATTTAGAGAAATGAAAACATAAGTCTAGTCCTAAGCACCCTAACCTAACACTTTTACACCTTAACCTACATATTTAAAACTCCATTAAGGAAAATTACTCACTAATCATGATTTACACACTTAATCCTTTGCAAGATGTGATTTTAATCATGATTAGAAGCCTTGGATAATGAGAAAAGATGATAAGATGTAAAGAAACTGCTTTAAATCTGATTAAACTCAAAAAAGATTCTTCACAAATGATTGTTTTTTCATAAAAGAGGCAAGAGACAAAAGAGGATAAAAGATATCTAGGGTTTTTCACCCAAAATGTATTTATAGGTGGAGTCTTGGACCGGGTCTAATTGGGTACTGACCCGGCCGTGTTGGTTTCTGGTGATTCTTGTTACGACTTTGTCTTCTCCTCTTAACTCGCAGCACCCATCTTGCAGCCTCAAGCGAGCATTTCAGTTCTTCCCTGTTGCGGTTTGGACATCTCCTTCTCAACCGCAGCTCCTGACTTGCAGCCTGAAGCGAATGTTTACCAAGCCCCATGCTGCAGCTCACCTGACTCGCAGCCTTCAAGTCGCAGCCCCAAGCAAGTATTGCTGCGAGTCAGCTCCTTTCTTCTTCACTTGCAGCAATCATCTTGCAGCATGCATGGTTCACACTTAGAGATTTTGGAATTGTGGCATTCTCTTCATTTGCTCCGGGTCTCTTAAGTCGCAGCATTATTCGCAGCCTGGTTCCTAGAATCAATCGCATGCTGCTGCGAGTTGGCTCAGTCGCAGCACCCAAGTCGCATCATATCATTTTTACTCGGACCAATTCGCACTTGAGGCACCATAACATCTGGGATACTGGTCCATATGACTTGATTCAAACTCCAGAGTGAAGACAGCTCAATTGCCTAGAATGTTTCTGAGTTTGAGTGCATCCGGGGAGATTAAGGCTTTCCGGTAGGTGGTTCTTTGTATCGGCGGAGGAGGTTCCAGTTTCTTGCTGCAGGACATGTTTGTTTCCCGCTTGAGATATCTCCCAGATCACTACTCCAAATGATATGATTCTAAACAATTCTGGAAAGGTAACTAAAAGGTCTCAAATCTTGATGAAGGCACCAGAAACTGTCTCGGAGGGAAGGGCTTTATCCTGGGTGATTTTTGAGGTGCATCGGATCGGTCCGGAATGGTGCAAGACAGGTTCATTTTCTGTTGGCCATATATTTCTGCTCACTGCTCCACATCCATTGATTCTAAGTGCTCTGAAACCGCGATTCAATCCTCTTGAGTTTTGATGAAGACAACAGAGGCTGAATCTGACGGGAAGGCTTTTCGGTATTGCAATCTTTGAAGCGTATCAGCACCTGAGAATTGTGGCCGATAATCATGTACTGCGGTTCGTGTTTGGCCGATAGAATGCAACCCACGACAAGCTTTTTGGCCGAGAAAACCTTCCCGCAGTAAACCAGTTTGGCCGATAAACTCCAAATGCCCATTTTTATCATTTCTTCACATTTTTCACAAGTTTTTCCACTGGTTCCATCTTTTCCACTGATATTCTCCAAAGCACTTAAATATCACTCGAAACATGCAGGACTCCCTTGGACCTAATGCAAAATCCTAAAACTCTAAAACAAAGACAAACATGAAGAATTTATCTAAAATGTATGCATGAGACTCTAATTTTGGTCCAAAAATGCATCCTACACATGCAAATATGTGAATATATCAACTCCCCCACACTTATATTTTTGCTTGCCCTCAAGCAAACTAGAACAAATGAGAGAGAGGTTTGGAGTTTGCATTTCTTTAAAGAGAGATGATCATTAAAAGAATTCAATCTCATGGTCCTAGTTACTATTTCTGAAATGCAATGCAAGGAATACTCTGAATACAGCAAATTCAAGCCTTGATCTACACAAGCATTCTTATCCCTCAGCCTTTTAACATTCGTTAAGTTGTAACCATGTGGATCAAAGTGATGCATACTCAAATGAACAAGTTTGGCTAAGGGTGAGGTTATGAGATAAAAGTGATCTCATTCAATGCATATGTGGGTTCAATTCATCACAAGGGATCTTTCTATGAAGGACTGAACTTCAACAAACAGCTAAGGATAAAAAGCAACTTATGCATACAACAAATTCAATTCACCCTAACTCTAAACCCATGAAGAACACTCCCTAGTTACCCCTTATTCTTCCAAGGCTTTCATTGCCTTCTCAACCCATCTCTCACTTCACTCTCATTCTTTTTCTCACTATGGGATCTTTTTTTCCAATGGCTGGTGTTTCTCTTTTCACTTAGCTCTTTTCAATCCACATCTCATCTCTAGCCTCTTTTCTCAATGATTTTTGAAGCTTGAGCCCTTTTGGCGGCTTTTTTTTTTCTTTTCACACTTTGAGGCTTTTTTTTAACACTTAGAGCTTTTTCTTTTCAGACACCAGCCAATTCACACTTTGCAATCCCCTAGCTCCCATCTCAATCTCTTTCTTTTCCACTCATTTATTCCCCAAAGATCCCTTCCTAACCTACTCTAGTCTCATGATGCAGAGCTAGATCTACATGAAAGCCTACTCTTGTCGATCTAAACCCAACACTTTTGTCAAGTTCATTCAAAACAAGGCCTCACATTGCTCACTAGAGTGTTTAGGCTTCAAATATGGCTTAGTTAAGGGCAGGGAAAACTGTCTCAATGATGGAGATCAGCTACTTGGTTAGCAAGAGTGGTAAAAAGGGAAAGATAATCCAAGTATGTATATGCTATTCACAAGTTCATCTAAGCAAGCATCACATGATAATTTAAAATCATGTTAAAAGTTCCATTTGCTAATGCTGAGTTTAATTCAAAGTTTGTTTCAACCAAAGTCTAAACAATGCTACACATTTCATCACTTGCAAGCATCAAAGAACTTATAACTAGGGCCATGAACTAAACTCTTAAAATGATGTTCTCTCAAAGAAACATACATTACTCCCATGCAAATGATGCAAACCTATATGAAATGCAATCTAAACTCAATCCTAAAATGTGAACGCAATTAAATGAACATTATTTGTGAAATTTTTTCAGATTTTTTTATTTTTTTTTTTTATTTTTCTATGCACTTAGATACTATGCATGAATGAATGAGACTCAAAGTGAAAAAGAGAAAATAAGAACATAGAAAACAAAGTTAGATAACACTAAACCCCTCCTCCACACTTAAATAACAGTCCCTTGTGTTATAAAAGTATGAGAAAGAGGATAAACAAACATGAAATGAAAAAGATAAAGAAAAATGATAAATGCTTATTTAAAAGTGTTTGGAGTGATACCTGATGTGTTGTTGATGAAAAGGAGGAGTGAATATCTGCATCAGAGGAGGCTAGACATCATTGGAGGTGGGTTAGTTTTGATGTCACTCCTTGCTGCGACTTGGTTCACCAGCAGCACCTCACCAGCAGCCTGAAGCGGATGAAATTTTCTTGGCCTTGACTCCCTGCTGCGACTTGGTTCACCAGCAGCCTCTAGCTAGCAGCCACAAGCAAATGTAAATTGTTTGTCCTGGGCTCATTTCTGTGAGTTGTCTCACCAGTAGCACCTCACCAGCAGCCTGACATGATTTCTTTTTGCCTTGGCCATGTTTTCCTTGCTGCGGGTTGGTCACTAGCAGCACTTGACTCGCAGCCTGATGCAAATGGATTTCTCATGGTCCTTCATCTCTGCAGCTAGTTAGCTCACCAGCAACCACCAAGTCGCAGCCTCATGCAAATGTTTTTCTTCTTGGGTTTTTTTCTATGCTGCTAGTTAGATCACCAGCAGCCACCAAGTCACAACCTCATGCAAATGTATTTTTCTTGGCTTAGACTCATGCTGCGACTTGCTTAACCAGCAGCCACCAACTAGCAGCCCCAAGCGAATGAAAATGCTCTTGGCAATGACCCTGCTGATGCGACATGGTTCATCAGCAACACCCATCTAGCAGCAAAGGCCGAATCAGCTTTGTTCCATGCCCTTAAGCTCGTTTCTCATCTGTTGCTGGTTCTTTTTCCACCTTGTCCTTGAGCCACATGATTTCCCAGACATTTACAACCTGAGATCACTCCACAAAACACATCAAAACATCCTAAAACATAAAAAAATATTAAAAGACTATACAAGGATAAGCTTGAGGTGTATCTCAAGAGCACTTTGTTTTAAGTAACTAAGTTTGACTTTTCTCACTTGTTTACTTAGATGGGAGATCATCTAGAGGAACTGAGGAAGCTCCCTCCTTGATCTTATTAACCAGATAAGGCTTCAGTCTTTGCCCATTGACAACAAACCCTTTGCCATTCTTTCCCTTAAGCTCAATGGCTCCATAACTCCTCACTTGCATGATCTTAAAAGTGCTTGACCACCTTGATCTAAGTTTCCCTGGTAACAGTTTGAGTCGTGAGTTAAACAACAGCACCAGATCCCCTTCCTTGAAATCTCTCTTCAGAATCTTCTGATCATGTAGGCTCTTGGTCCTTTCTTTGTAGATCCTTGAACTTTCATAGGCATCAAGCCTAATCTCATCAAGCTCATGAAGTTGGAAGAGCCTCTTCTCCTGAGCAGTCTTGATGTCAAAGTTGAGAAGCTTGAAAGCCCACAATGCCTTGTACTCTAGTTCCACAGGCAAGTGAAAACTCTTTCCAATGAGAAGATTGAAAGGAGAGGTCCCTATGGGTGTCTTGAATGCATTTCTGTATGCCCATAAGGCATCATCCAACTTCTTAGACCAATCTTTTCTTGTTGAGTTCACTGTCCTCTCCAAGATAGCCTTGATTTGTCTATTGAAAACCTCCAGTTGGCCACTAGTTTGAGGTGATAAGGGCTTTCCACCTTGTGTTTAACTCCATACTTCTTGAGAAGACCTTCAAATGTCTTGTTTATGAAGTGCTCCCTCCATCACTGATCACAACTCTTGGAACACCAAACCTTGGAAAGATAATGGAATTGAACAGCTTTACCACACTACTTTGGCATCATTTGTTGGGCTTTAAACAGCTTATACCCACTTTGAGACATATTCCACAACAACAAGTATGTATTGGTTACCATATGATGTTGGGAAAGGTCCCATGAAATCAATGCTCCAGCAATCAAAGACTTCTACCTCCAAAATTGGGTTCTGAGGCATCTCATGCCTTTTGGAGATGTTCCCAGCCCTTTGATAGACATCACACTTGACAGAAAAATCCTGAGCATCCTTGAACATGCTAGGCTACCAAAATACTGCTTGTAAGACCTTTGAAACTGTTTTAAAGGCAGCATTGTGGCCACCATATGCAGACCCATGGCATTCAAGCAACACTCCTTGAACCTCTTCCTCAGCTAGACATCTTCTATGGTCATTGTTGAGCACATATAGAAATGGCTCATCCCAATAGAATCTTTTGATGTCTTTGAAGAATTTCTTCGTTTGATAATTGCTCATCTCAGGAGGCTCCACTCCACATGAAAGATAATTCACAATATCAGCAAACTAGGGTAGCCCTCTCTCTTTGATTGACTTGATCTCTTCTAGCTCATTTAAGGCTTTCACCATCATAAGCTGTTCCTCTTCAAGTGGGACCTCACCTTGTACTCTTAATCTTGATAGATGATCAACAACACCATTTTCTATTCCCTTCTTGTCTTTAATCTCCATGTCAAACTCTTGGAGAAGAAGGATCCATCTCAGCAACCTTGGTTTTGCATCTTTCTATGCAATCAGGTACCTAAGAGCAGCATGATCTGTGTACACAATCACCTTGGAACCCACTAAATAGGACCTGAACTTGTCAAAAAGCAAAGACAATTGCCAGCATTTCTTTCTCAGTTGTTGCATATCTTTCTTGAGCTCCATCCAATATTCTACTTGCATAATAGATCACATACAACTTCTTGTATTTCTTTTGACCCAAAACAGAACCCACAGCAAAATTAATAGCATCTGTCATGATTTCAAATGGCAAACTCCAGTCTTGGTTTTGAACAATGGAGGCAGTGATCAAAGCTTGCTTGATCTCATTGAAGGAATCTTCACATTCCTTGTCAAACACAAACTCCACTTCCTTGCAGAGCAGTCTTGTCAGCGGCTTTGCAATTTTTGAAAAGTCCCTGATGAACCTCCTATAGAACCCAGCATGTCCAAGGAAGCTTCGCTTCCCTTTCACTGAACTTGGAGCTTGCAGATTCAACATCACCTCAACCTTTGCCTTGTCCACTTAAATGCCAGCTTCTGAGATCTTGTGTCCCAAAACAATTCCTTCCTTCACCATGAAGTGGCATTTTTTCCAATACAGAACTAGGTTGGACTCCTCACATCTTTGCAACACCTGACATAGATTAGACAAACAAGAAGAAAAGGAGGGTCCATATACGCTGAAATCATCCATGAACACCTCCACTTTTTTCTCTATTAGGTCAGAAAATATTGAAAGCATGCACCTTTGGAAGGTGGCTGGAGCATTACAAAGCTTAAAGGGCATTCTTCTGTAGGTAAATGTGCCATATGGGCAAGTAAAAGTTGTCTTTTCCTGATCATTTAGGTGTATAGGAATCTGAAAGAAACCTGAGTATCCATCAAAGAAACAGTTATATGAGTGATTGCTAGCCTTTCTAACATTTATGAAGGGCAAAGGAAAATGGTCTTTTAGAGGCTGCATTTCTATAGTCTATACACATCCTATGCTCTGTCATAGTCCTAGTAGAGATTAGCTCAACTTTCTCATTCCTAACAACTGTTATGCCACCCTTTTTAGGAACAATATGGACTGGAGAAACCCACTTTGAGTCAGAAATAGGATATATTATCCCTGCCTCAAGGATTTTGAGGATCTCTCTCGTAACCACACTTTGAGATTTGGGTTTAATCTCTTTTGATGCTCTATAGAGGTCATAGACTCCTCCTCCAAGTGTACCCTATGGGTGCATAAGCTAGGTGAGATCCCTTTGGTATCATCTAGTGAATAGCCTATAGCTCTCCTATACTTTCTTAGTTCATTCAACAAAGCATTCTCTTCATGAACTAATAGGCTATCATTGATGATCACTGGTATGATGCACTAGAGCCAAGAAATGTATACCTGAGGCCACTAGGGAGTGCATTGAGTTCCACTTTGGGTGCTCTGAGTTCACTCCAATCATCATTGAAGTGTGTATGTTCAGCTTATGCTCCCTTTGTGTTGCTTTCCTCAGTCTCTCTGTCAGCTTCTTCTGACTTTGTACCCACGGCCATGCATCTCTCAACTGAACCTTGGCTCAAACCCATTCCACTTGTTCCCTGAACCTCTTGGCCACCAGTTCCCAGCTCCAAATACAGTGTTTCTGCTCCTGCTGCCTTGTGCTGGTCCAATGCCAACTTGTATGTTTCACTCTCATCGGCTAAGAACCCATGCTCTCCTGGTTCTTTTATCAAATTGATCTGAAGAGGATTATCAAGTGTCAACTCTTCTAACAACTCATCAGCCAACGAATCCATTGTCTCAATGTAGAACACTTGTCTTTCAATAATTGGCTTCTTTATGACCTCATTAATGCCAAACTTTAGAAATTCTAACCCAAGATGCAATTCAATCTTGCCTTCTCTCACATCTATGATAGCACCAACTGTTGCAAAAGAAGGTCTTCCCAATATGAGAGGGTCGTTAGGTTCCTCATCCATTTCCAAAACAATGTAATTAGTTGAGACCTCAAAATCTCCAGTCTTCACTGGAATCTCCAGTTTATTTTGGTAGTTTTATGTTTAACCGCTGAAACATCCGCTGGTTTCCCAGTCAAAAATGTCCTGCAAATGGACTTGCTTTCAACAGATAAATCATTCGTGCAAACCGCTTAATAACGCTCAAAACTGCAATCGCCCGCTTCCGCAAACTTCCGCACTCGCAACCGCAACTGCTGCGTTTAAACCAGTCAGACCTTAAGAGATCTTAGATGGCTTGTAATATGAGAAACCCAGATTCTTTGCTATGGAGAATGGCATCAGACTAACACTGGCTCCAAGATTAGATATACAGTTTGCGAATTTGAGGAGCACATGGTAAGGTGGAGCTCCCTGGATCAGACAACTTCTTTGGGATTGCCTTCCTTTTAATTATGGCGCTGCACTCATGACTCAAGACCACCATTCCTTGTAACTCATTTGTCTTGTCAAGAATAGCATCCTTTAGAAACTTGGAATACTGAGGAACCAAGAGAAAGGCTTCAATAAAATGTATGGTGAGCTCCATCTTCTCCATCTGCTTGTCAAAAAGAGTTCTACCTTTCTCTAAAAGCTGCTTCTTAAATCTTCCTGGAACAGGCAGCTTTGGCTGATAAGGTGGTGGTGGAACATATAGTTTCTCAGGCACCTTCTCTTTTGCCACACCTTTACCTTTTTCAATCTTCTCAACTGGTAACTCCACAACTTCTTCATCTAGATTACTCCTTTGAGTCACCCCCCCCCCCACTAGGTTGCTCATTGTCCTCAATGAGCACTTGTCTTTGCTCTCTTTTTGGGTAACTCCTTTCCACTTCTTAGAGTTATAGCATGAGCATACTCTTTGGGGTTTGTTTCAGGTTTTCCTGAAAGTGTTCCTTGTTTTCTAGATGAAGAAAAAGTCTGGTTCTTCTGAAGATCTTTGGACTGATTCTGTAGTGACTCATATTTGGAACTGAGATCACTAAAACCATGATGTACCAACTGTTGACCCTGCAGTATCTGTTGTAGAGCTCCACTGATGTCTGAACCCTGTTGCTATGAAGGACCCTGCTGCTGTTGTTGACCAAACCCTGGAAGAACCTTGTTCTTCTGGAAGTTTTCCTGATTAGAAAAGTTGTTCCCTTGGTTCTGAATAGGTGCCTGAACATACTGCTGCTTTCCTTGGTAATTCCCTTGAAACTGATTCTTAGGAACAGACCCTTGAGGTTGAAGTTGCTGAGAAGGATTTACTTGGTCACCAGGATTTGCCACATTTTGGATTTCTATAACTCAGGTTCTGATTGTAGTTGTTGAACATGTTGAACTTGTTCTGGTTCTCAATATAATTGAGCTCTTTCTGAGTCAAACCCTCTTCATTCACATTCTCAAAACATTGAGCTTGCTCATCAAATTAACCAACAAAATAAAGAGGTTTCTGAGTAGCAACTAAGACCTTGTCTAGCTTGCTTTCCAGCTCCTTTATATCCTTCCTCATTCTCTGTTCTTTACTAGACCCCTCTCCTCTATTAGCTCTATCATATTTTTCACCATAAGTATCATTGCTCATTGCCAAATTCTCAACTAGCTCCATGGCAGCTTTGATCTCCTTGGCTTAGAAGTTCTCATTGGAAGCAGTATCAAGGTGGTTTATAAACTTTGGCAGGACACCTCTATAAAGAGTGCTTAGCAATGATGCCTCTGAAAACCCATGGTGAGGGCATTGATTAGTACTGTAGCTCATGAATCTCTCCCAAGCCTCATCAAAAAGTTTCATCGTGGTGTTGGGTAAAGGATAAGATCTGATTCCTGAGCTTTGCTGTCCTGGAGGTTGAAACGAAATTTGACAAGAAAGCTTGCTTGCATTGTTTCCAAGTCTGAATAGAACCTTGAGGTAAATTCTTCTCCCATTGGCGTGCTTTATCTCCTAGACTGAAGAGAATAGTCTTAACTTGAATCCATCTTCAGAGACCCCACTGATCTTGGTAATGTTGCAGACCCTATCAAAGTTGTCTAGATGATCTAAGGGATCCTCCATAGATAAGCCATGAAACTTTGAGTTTTTCACCATGTAAAGAAGAGATGCTTTAACTTTAGAGTTATTGTTTTGCACAGCTGGAGCTTGGATACCGTGTCTGTTCTGACAAGCATTGGCCCTGTCATTGGCCCCAACAAAGATTGGATTCATCACCTTGAGGTTGGTGATGCCTGTTCTGGTGTTGGTTCTCCTGATTCAGATGAGCCTGATGCTCATTTCTAGCAGCTTGGTTTTTGTTAACCTGAGCCAGGTGCTCATTCCTTGCACCCATGTTTTGATTCACATAACCTTACTGCTCATTCCTTGCTGCTTGGTGTTGGTTAACCTCAGCCTGGTGCTCTGCCTGGTTTCCTTGCTGTTTCATTTCCACAACTAGGCCCTCTTCTCTTGGTCTTCTTCCTCTTCTCTCTAACAGATTGATGTTGTCTATGTTGGGGAGAGGAGGATCACAGCTTCTGGATCTTGATCTGGTGTTCATGCACCTGGAACTTCAAAGGCAGAACTTATAGATTTATCAATAAAACAAAACAAAAAAGACTTGATCTCAAGAACAAATCAAAGACTAATCTAACGATCCACACTATGGCAATGGGGCCAATAGATAACAAGCGGTTTTTAAGTTCTTGTGCGTTCAGTTCCCCAATGTCTTTGCAGTATATGAGGTTATCAATCCATTGTGTGGCTTTAGTATACTAATCTATATGATGTGTATCTTAATTCAAGCTAAACAAGATGATTTGGTTTGTAACAAGTGACAAGATTAAATTAAACAAGTCTAAGCAATGATTAAAAGCAAACAAAAACAAGCAAAGCAGATGATGATGATATGAAAAATGATTAAGACGTGGATCTCTAGACATGATAGTTGGCTAAGGTGCATTAGTGATCAACCAAGGTGCTAATGACAATATGAAATATGATTCAAGCAACTTAGGATTTAAAAAAAGACTACTCTTTCCCAAGATATAGAACACAAATCAGATTATTACTCATACCCAATCATCATTGGAGACATAACAATAAGACAACATTATAAATCAATCCTAAAATATCATTTGTGCATATAACAAACATTCCCATGATATTAATGCATAAACCTCTATAATAGCTGGTTCAGGCATTTCATCAAAACCTTTTTGGGTGGCTGAAATGCCTAAGATCTGGGTCAGAGGGTTCATTAAAAACCCAGCATTAAGACCAGCTATTTAGAGAAATGAAAATATAAATCTAGTTCTAAGCACCCTAATCTAACACTTTTACACCTTAACCTACATATCTAGAACTCCATTAAAGAAAACTACTCACTAATCATGATTCACACACTTAATCCTTTGCAAGATGTGATGTTATCATGATTAGAAGCCTTGAATGATGAGAAAGATGTAAAGAAACAGCTTTAAATCTGATTAAACTCAAAGAAGATTCTTCACAAATGATTATTTTTGCATAAAAGAGGCAAGAGACAAAAGAGGATAAAAGATATCTAGGGTTTTTCACCCCAAAATGTATTTATAGGTGTAGTCTTGGACCGGGTCAGCCCAGGACACACTGGGTACTGACCCGGCTTGGTTGGTTTCTGGTGACCTTTGCTGCGACTTGGTCTTCTCCTCCTCATTCGCAGCACCTATCTCGCAGCCTCAAGCGAGCATTTCAGTTCTTCTCTGATGCGGCTTGGAAATCTCCTTCTCACACGCTGCTCCTGACTCGCAGCCTGAAGCAAATGTTTTCCAAGCCTCATGCTGCGGCCCTCCTGACTCGCAGCCTTCAAGTCGCAGCCCCAAGCGAGTATTGCTGTGAGTCAGCTCCTTTCTTCTTCACTCGCAGCAATCATCTTGCAGCATGGTTCACACTTAGAGATTTTGGAATTGCGGCATTCTCTTCATATGCTCCGGGTCTCCCAAGTCGCAGCATCATTCACAGTCTGGTTCCTAGAATCAATCGCATGCTGTTGCGAGTTGACTCAGTCGCAGCACCCAAGTTGCAGCATTTCATTTTTACTCGGACTAATTCGCACTTGAGGCAACATAACTTCTGGGATACTGGTCCAAATGACTTGATTCAAACTCCAGAGGGAATGCAACTCAATTGCCTAGAACGTTTTTGAATAGTGCGAGTGCATCCGAGGAGATTAAGGCTTTCCGGTAGGCGGTTCTTTGCATCGGCTCAGGAGGTTCCAGTTTCTTGCTGCGGGACATGTCTGTTTCCCACTTGAGATATCTCCCAGCTCACTACTCCAAATGATATGATTCCAAACATTCTGGAAAGGTAATTCAAAGCTCTCAAATCTTGATGAAGGCACCGGAAACTTTATCGGAAGGGAAGGGCTTCGTCCTGGGTGAACTTTGAGGCGCATCGGATCGGTTCGGAATGGATGCGAGACAGGTTCATCTTCTGTTGGGCATATCTTTCAGCTCACTGTTCCAAATCCATTGATTCCAAGTGTTCTGGAACCGTGATTCAATCCCTTGATTTTTTATGAAGACACCAGTGGCTGAATAGGACGGAAAGGCTTTTCGGTATCGCGATCTTTGAAGCGTATTGACACTTGAGAATTTTCGCCGATGATCATGTACTGCAGTTCGCGTTTTGGCCGACAGAATGCACCCCGCGGTAAGCTTTTTGGCCGAGAAAACCTTCCCGCGCTACACCATTTTTGCCGATTAACTCCAAATGCCCATTTTTATCATTTCTTCACTTTCTTTCACCATTTCTTCCACTGGTTCCATTTTTTTCACTCTAGATAAGCTCCAAAGCATATGAATATCACTCCAAACATGCAAGACTCCCTTGGACCTAATGCAAAGTCCTAAAATTCTAAAACAAAGACAAAACATGAAGAATTTATCTAAAATGCATGCATGAGACTCTATTCTTGGTCCAAAAATGCATCCTAAACATGCACATATGTGAATATATCAAGGATTAGCGAATTTGAGAAAGGTTCAGATTCAACATCTTCAAATCATTCATTGGATATAGAGTAGTTAATCCTATGTTTTTCTTAATCTGTTGAATCAAAGTCTTATTATGTAATTATGGCCAGCCTTGACACTTTGGGAGCCTAAGTAAAAAAAAAACAAATCGTTACTTCTATTTATATACTCGGTGTCTTTCCCGCGCCTTACACGGTTCCCCCGAGAGGTTTTTTCTTCTTTTTCCTCCTCTTTATCTTTTGGTTATTCTTCTTTATCGCCTTTTCTTTATTCTTCTTCATTGTTTTCCAACTATCCAATATCAGTGTAGGTAGATTGTAAGAATCAATACTCTAATACCTACGTAGAGATGGCACTATATACAAAGGAAGAGAGGAAGCACCTACGCACTGTAAGACAACAAAAACCAATAACCAGTTATAGCTAAAAGCTTAGACAATTACAATACATATAAAAAATAAGAAGAATCTTGTATAACAAAAATAAAAAAATTTTGACCGTCTTTGCCTTTTCTTCTTCTTCCTCTTATTTATCTTTTGATTTTGTTATTCTTCATCGTCTTCGATTTCTACTTCTTCATTCTCTTCTGATTTGTCTTCTTCCTCGTTTTCTCGTTCTTTGTTCAATTCTTCTTCATATTCTTTATCTTTCAGTTTTTTCTTCTTCGTATTTTCCTTATTCTTTTTCATTGCATTTGATCAATTCTTCCCACGACTTTTTTCTTCTTTTCCGGGTTTTACTCGTGTTCTTCTTCTTTATCCCATTTCAATGCATTTTTTTGTTCCTCTTCGAATTTTTGTTCTTCCTCTTTTCCATCGAATTCATTTTTCTCCTCTTCTTCTTATTCATCTTTTAGAGTTTCTTATTCCTTGTTTTTTCCTTCTTCTTCTTCGTCTTTGACTTCTACTTGTACTTCTTCTTGTTTGACTTTTTCTTATTCCTCTTAAATATCTTTCAATTTTCTTATCCCTCATCATTTTCTTCATCATCGTCTATGTCTCCCCGAATTTTTATTTTGATTTTTCTTCGTCTTTTCTTTGCCTCTTAGTCTTCATTGTATTCGTCTTTTCAGAATGATTATTATTCCGATTCATAATTTATCTTGTCTCCATATTCTGATTCCTTTACTTGCACGGACAACGGTTTAATCTCTCTATCTCCTTCCCTCTCCCCCTCTTTTTGTATCTCTTTCTCTCCCCCTCTCTCTCCTCTTTGTATCTCCCTCTACCTCTCTCTCCATCTCTCCCTCTCTATATTCATAACTTAAATCTCCTTAGGTTTTTCCTTATTTTTATTCTTCTTCTTCTCTTCAAATTATTAATAAATTCTACAATATAGCTTTGGCCTTATCTCCTTCTCTCTTTTGTTCTTTTCTTTACTTTCAAGCCCTCGTCATCTCTTTTTTCCACTTTTTCATATCAATCAAAAATTTCTTTGCCATCCAACTATCTTTCCTTAATGGGTTTTCTTTAGCTTCCGTGTTTTTCTCATGCATTTCAGTCAAGGGCTCAAACCCGTTTTATTATTGTCGAATTCAACGTCTGAATGTTCAATCTCTGTTGGCTCGTCTTCACGTAAACCAGTGAACTTCAGAAACACATAACAATCTGATTTGAGTTGTTTTGAACACAGAAACCTATTCGAGATTTCATCTCATTTTTCAACTCATCTTCGAATATACAGTTGTTTTGTATAATTTCTGTTTTAGAGAAGCAATCAAAAGATAGACTGTTTTAGGATAAATTACTAAAATTTTTAAAGCAATGGAGTTATACGACGCAAGAAATTTTTTTGTTTTTGTCATTAACTCATTTCCCCAAAAATTAACTTGGAGCTTCTGAACTTTTTTTGCTTTTGTAATTTCCCCCAAAATAGTAATTGATTTTAAAAGAAATTTATATTTGCATTCTGACTATTGAGAGACGAGTCTGCGATACTGCAAGGATAGTCCACAATGCAACGTGTCTAATGATGTATTTAATAAAGATACGTTAATAAAAAACCTTCCTTGAAAGGCCTCGTGAAATCATGGAGGAACACATCTAAAACTTAATGAAACCAAAGTAGAGCAAACACAAAAAAAAACATGTTTGTTTCTGTTTCTTATTGGGCTAAACCAAATCTGTAGACACAGCGAAGCATGATGCACGACATTGAAGAATTTTGTTTCTCTTTTACTTAGCCTGAGGATGAGAAGAGATAAACTCAACCGCAAGATCGATGGACTGTATCTTGTCTGCTTCATTATCAGGGATCTCAAACCCAAATTCTTCCTCGAACGCCATCACAACTTCCACAGTGTCCAAACTGTCTAACCCGAGATCGTTATGGAAATGGGCTTTTGGTGTTACCTGTAACGAGAATACAGACGTATCAGTACCAAGTTTAAGCCTAGTTTATTTGCAATAGCTGACTAGAAAGCATTGAAATTGGAGCCTACGATAGTCACGAAGGGTGAAACAAATGCAAATGCTTTACAGTGTGGGGTTGAGTTGCTTGATTCAAAGAGCTAAGCAGCAGTATATAAACACTCAACCATAAAGCCTACAATCAGAAATGCCCGAATAATCATTCGGCTAAACTTCTCAAACGCTTCTGGATATTATAATACTGCATGCGGTCTAATACTTCTAGAGAGTTTTATCATTTCATAAATCCACAAATACTGTACTACTAAGGGAAATAACAACTCCTAATCATTAATATATACTATGAGAAATTTTATATTAATATAAGCGTTCCCAAATTCCACCGAAACGTTGTAGAAACGTTTCCGAGCCGTTCCCGATCAGTATTTCGGAGACGTGAGACGTCTACAAATTGCCGTACCCGTGCATCATAGCAGTCAGACCGCAACTTATCAAAGAAAAACAGCTTAGTTAGAGCAAACCAAAACCATATAACAAGCTCTTCTACAAGATTGTGATGCTGAAGAAACTTTGGGAAAACTCAACCTAGTCAAAGATAATGAGATCAAGACACGATATCGCTTATGGCGATGAACATAGTTAAATCAGTAACATGCATTTTTCAACAGCAAGATAAGCCCGAAAAAAGGTATGGATAAAACAGGAATTCACAGAAACATAAAAAGAGAAAGAGAGCATCTTTCTCTTAAGGATTATACATAGACCTCACCAATAGTTTCCAACTCTTCTTGACAAAATTTGCATTGCTGCTAATTATAAAAAAGGAATAGAGAAATCTTGATAAGCCACACAAGGAGAAGTTGGGAGCAAACAAGTATGAGCAAAAAGGCAATACAAATTGATGCAATGTAGTTTCCAGATTGTTGCAATGTAAATGCTCAAATACATATACAAGCATGTGAAAAGAAGGCCAAAACGAAAAAACTTGTATCTACACTGCAACAATCACCCAAAAAGGTAAGAAAACAGATACCCACATTTCTCAATCCGATGCAATATATCTTCTATGTTCTTGCAAATACAAAGAAAATGATGCATCCTAAGCTTCCTACTCAGGCAATTCAAAATATCGAATAAGTGCTGAGTGATAGGCTTCGTTATATATTATCTTGGTATTGATAAGAACACTAAAATCTCAGCTTCAATCAAAGCTTTTCTTCATCTAATCAATAACCAGTAATGCAGAAAAAATCAGATAATCTTTCAATTCTAGGGTCTACTCAAAATCCCACTAAGTAGAATCACTACGAATATCAATTTCATGGCAAATACAAACGAAAATGAAAGTAGAAATGGCTCGAATCAAGGAAAAATATAACTGGAATACCTTTGAGGGATCGACTCTTTGAAAGTTTTTGACGACTGAGATAACGCGATCTGTGACATCAGATTTGTCTAGAAACGATCCTCTAACTTCGTCGGAGAAACGGCGAAGAAGAACGGTGAAAGGGAGTGCAGATTCTCGAGCGCCGATGTTATCCTTTAGAAGTGATGCATTGACGTTGACTCTAAGGTGTCGAAGCAGAGCATTTCTCGCCGCCATCGCTGTGTTGCAAAACGGAAACAAAAAAATACCTAGAAGCTTTCTCTGTGCTCGCGAAGACTCGAGAAAGGAGTTTTGCTAGGTGTCAAACGACGTCGTAGATTGTGTAGTGGGATTTCCCTTTCTTCTGCTTCTTATTTAGGCCCATTAACTGTTTTATACGCTTCCAAATTTTCGTTCGATTGTTGTGCATAATTCATCTATCATATTGACTATATCCATGCTTCGATTGATTTTTTTTGTCGTCCGAAGCCATGCTTCGATTGATTAAACTGTGGAATGGTGAAATCCCGTTTTTAACCAGACTCAAGTATTTTATCAATAACACATAGTACAAATAAAAGATCTATTAAACAGAAAAATAACTTTCAAATAGATTATTCGTAGCATAGTTCAATATTGCTTCTAAGTTTTCCATTGTTGTTTTTTTTTTTTTGTCATCTTTAGCCTTACGAATTTATGATGTAATGTATTCTTTTCTCCCAAACGTGTGATCAAACACACTAAATCTATCTTTTTTTTTTGGTAAACTACACTAAATCTATCTTAAAAACTGTTTATTTGAAAAAGTGAACTTCTATATAGGCTTTTTAGGCATACTTTATTCAATCATAGTTTTTAATAGAATTTAAATTTAACCACAATCCACATTATACAACTAATGATTCTAAATGATATTTTAAAATCCAGTGTCATTGGAACTTTTGATTGTAAATCATGTTTAAGAGATTTTAAAGTTTGGTGTTATTCAATGAAGATTTCAAATCTTTCATTAAAATACAGTGTTATTCAAAACTAAATAACTTTTAAAATCTTTGTATATTAAGTCATTTCAAATCAATTCCAA